GTGATACTACTACTACTACTACTACTACTACTACTACTACTACTACTACTACTACTACTAATGATGATAATAAAACTATATTAATAATAATAATAACAATACTAATGATAATAATAATAATAATAATAATAATAATAATAATAATAATAATAATAATAATAATAATAATAATAACAATAATGATGATGATCGATAACCGTGTCGAGAGAATTAAAAATAATTTTCTATCGAGTATCACGGTCTCTCTGGTGGGAAATTGTAGCTCTCACAGACCTGGTTGGCATTGACAGGAAATGTAGAAGACCACCAGTCCTCCTGAATGATCTAAACTGTGTTGACGGGGGCGTAAAATGGCTTTTAAGTTAAGATCTATATATTATGAAGTCTTACCGTACCTAAGCCAAAAGAGAGGCCTGTCCCGTACTCTGTTGTAGAAGGCGCTGATAGCCTCCGAGCTGAAGGCCACTAGAACTGTTACAAGTACTGCCACAGGGACACCTGGTGGTTGTGTTTAGGGGAGGGGAGTAAACAAAAAAAATAAAAAAATAAAAAACGAAACCAAAAATTATTGTGATTGTATAATTCATGTGGCAAGGTCTTCATTTCTGTTCAAATGAGTCAGAAACGGACTTTATTTTATTTTATATTAGTGAGCGTCCTAATTTGATTTCCTTTTCTTCCATAGGTCTCAGTAGTTTCTCCAAAAAACCACAAGTGTTTTGTTTCTGGTTTATTTTCATGATTTCTGGTAATTGTCCAGCTTTTACGGCCATATAGATGGGCTGACCACACATACTCTTTTAAAACTCTACTTTTGCTTATCATTGAGATATGCCTGTTTTTAGCAATACAGCCATTAAATCATTAAAAGAAATGCTGTTCGTTTAATTTCAAAGGTAAATTTGGTAACAGATGCAATATTTTATGATATTATGTTACAGGTATTAGAACGCTTGGACTTCGTTGCTTTTTTCACCTTGCGCTTGAAAAGTCAAAAGGAATTGAACTTTAGTGTTGTTTTAGATATTCCTCTTGCATTCTATCTACCTTAAATTTAGTTTAGTTTTAGGAAGAATTTTACGGCACTTGCAACACATAAGGTCATAATATAAGCGCCGAAGAATAGATGTGTTACAAGAGAGTAACATACTAAAAAAGAAAGAGGTGAGATAGGGATGATAGATATTTGATAGGAAAGAAGGAGCAAACCACACCAGAGCACCCGCCAACCACCCACCTTTAAATTTACGAGACACCCCTCCCCAAACGATCAGAACCAACCTTTTAAGAAAGATACAGTACCTGTAGATGATGCGATGACGTCATGAAACCAGTTGTAGAAACCTGTGCTGTGGTCTGCCTCATGGCGGTGGGAGGAGCTAGTGCCCGCCATCTGAAGACATAATATAGAACAAAATCCATGTCAGCATGTTTGAAATAACACCCAGGGAAGACTTTGCTGGCAAAGGAAAGTACCTTCCAGCATAACACTTTGAAGTTATAGTGGTAGTGGTAGATAATATCTTTTGTGGGTGGTTGGCGGGTGATCTGGTCTGCTGTGCCCCTTCTTAGGTATCAAACATCTGCCATTATCCTTATCTCTTCTCTTCGTTTTCCTGTCTTGGTTAGTTGATTAAACTTTGAAACCTTTTTGCATTTATATTACCTGTGTGTCTCGCACATGCGGGAAAATTATCTCTAAAAGTTAAACTATACTGTTTTTAGAAATCCCTAACCGGTACGCGGCAGAAGGCACGAATGCAAGAGTTAGCAGTTTTTATTTTTAAAAAACGGTTCCAAACGCTTTTCCCGCCCCTCTCCCCCCTCTCCTATAGCCCCGAAAATAGCAATATAAATCTTTAGCACAACGGGACAAAAGAAACCCATCCTGTCTTTTCAAAGTAAGCTAGTTTCCCTTTTATAGATCTACTGAGAGAGAGAGAGAGCATAAACGAGCACTAAATGTATGTTCGATTGTTCCTCTCGTCAACTTTTGGTTTGGTCTAATTTTACTCTCATTTTTTTCCATCAGTTCAGGCAAAAAAAACCCAACAAACACAAAAAAAGAAAAACAAACCCAGATTGTCTTGATCTTCCAACGCACTCTTTTCCTCAAGACATTCGGTATAGAAGGCAAGGGACGGGGATAGGGGTTGGAGGTTGGGTTGGGAGAAAGAAAAAAAAAAGGAGAGAGAGAGAGAGAGAGAGAGAGAGAGAGAGAGAAAGAGAGAGAGAAAGAAGGAGAGAGGGGGGGAGTGTGTGTGAGTGATAGTGTGTGTGTGTGAATGGTAGTGTGTGTATGTGTGTGTGTATGTGTGTGTGTATGTGTGTGTGTCTGTGTTTGTGTGTGTGTGTGTGTGTGAGTATCTGTGTATGTGTATGTGTGTGAGTGTGTGAGAGGGAGAGAGAGAGAGAGAGAGAGAGAGAGAGAGAGAGAGA